CTTTTGGATATCGTTGTCCATATTTTAGTTTCAGAACCGGGTATAATCCAATACTCTATTCATGACTTGTCTGTAAAATTTGGTGAGAAACAGAGTTGGTTTGACGTGATTCGGACGTTCGGTTGAGAAAATTGAAATTTTAAAGTGTTCTTCAAAATTTCATTTGATTTGGTGCTAAATTCGTAGTTCTAGGTATTATTTTGGCGATTTGATCACGTGAGCAAGTTCGTATGATATTTTTAGACTTGTGTGCATGTTTGATTTGGAGCCCCGAGGGCTCGCGTGAGTTTCGGGTAGGCTACAGAGTGATTTGATCTTGAAAAAATTTGCTGGTGTAACAGATCTTGTTGAAGGACTCTGATCTCGCATTTGCGAGATCAGGCATCGCAATTGCGATCTCTGAGAGATTCGCATTTGCGATCTTCTCATCGTAAATGCGAAGAGAAGCTGGGCCACACAGGTTTCGCAATTGCGAAACACACTTCGCATTGCAAAGTTGGTCTGGGGAGGGTAGTCTTCGCATTTGTGACGATTGTGTCGCATTTGCGGTCATCCAGTGTTCGCATTTGCGAACATTTTCTCGCATTTGCGAACTATGCAGAAATGAGAAGGGGTTCGCATTTGTGATGCTTCCTTCGCATTTAGGTCGCAGATGCAACATCTGCAGCTGATGAAAAGAAACTTAGACGGGATTTTTCTCTCATTCTTCAAATTTTCATTCAAAACCTAAAACACAATAGGCGATTTTCCAAAGACCTTTTCTTCCCCCAAATCATAGGTAAGTGATTCTAAACTAGTTTCTTTCAATCTTTCACTTTATTTTACAAGATTTCAACCTAAAATCTAAGATTTTAATGGTGGAACTGGCATTTTTGGGTAGAAACTAGGGATTTGATAAATTGGAAATTTAGACCTCAAATTGAGGTCGGATTCCAAAACCAATTACATTTGCGGGCTCGGGGGTAAATGAGTAATCGATTTTTGGTCCGAATTTCGGGTTTGGATCAAACGGGACCGGGTATTGACTTTTGTTGACTTTTTCAAAAAATCTCCAAAATTGAATTCTTTGCAATCGTAGGTAGTTCCTAAGGCTTAAATTGAATCGTTTGGTTGGTAATTTGCTAGATTCTATTGGTCTTGAGGCTTGTTTGAAGGGAAAAGTTGTGGTTGAGCTATAAGTTTGGTCGTTGGAATGAGGTAAGTATCGTGGTTAACCTTGGCTTGAGGAATTAGGTCTTATTTGCCTATTTGCTACGTGTTTAAATGTTAAGTACAATATATAGGTGAGATGACGAGTACCTATGCATTGTTGTCGAGTCATTGCTTGCGAGTGAGTCTTATTCATGAAATTGTAGTTTTTCGTGATCATATTACCCATGTTTAGACTAGTTTATCATCACATTGAATGTTTTTATCGTATTTACGATTTTTGGTATTGTTTGAGTATTGATTCAAAGTTGAAGTTGGTATTGTGGAACCAATTGTTGAAGTAAGACTTGTTCTTGATATTTCTATCTCCCTATTGTTATTGTTCATTGTTTTGGTGAGAGAGAGTGTTAATGCACGAAGGGTGATGTTGTGCCATGTTATGTGAGTGTTAATGCACGAAGGGTGATGACGTGTTATATTGTGAGTGTTAATGCACGAAGGGTGATGTTTAGCCATGTTATGTGAGTGGTAATGCATGAAGGGTGATATTATGCCATATTATGAGTGTTAATGGACGAAGGTTGATGTCGTGCCATGTTATGAGAGAGTTAATACACGAAGGGTAATGCCGTGCCTTTCCTATGTGATTCATATGGTGAGGATGAGAGTAAAAACACGAAGGGTGATGCGGTGTACTTTCTTTTACTGTGATTACTTATCCTTATCCGTTCTAATTATATTGGTTGATCAAAGTTCTAGATTTTGTTGTGACCCTTTATCTTGAGATCCCCTCAGCATGTTCCCCCTCCCAATATCACCTGTCTTGTTTATTTTATCGTTGTTATTGGCATATACATTGTTATATTGTACAGGTTTGTTTTATGGTGTCTTGTCCTACCATCGCCACTACTTCGTCGAGGTTAGGCTCGACACTTATCAGTACATGGGTTCGATTGTACTGATACTACACTGCACTTCTGTGCAGATTTCGGTATCGGCCCTAGCTGACCACGAGGTTAGCAGCTGGACTTGATTATCGGGAGACCAAGGCAGATCTGATGGCATCCGCAAACCCTGGAGTCCTATTCCTAGTCTTGTTATTTCACTCTTCCTTTTCCTTCAGAACAATGTATTATCTTTCAGACTCTGTTTGTAGCAAATCGTAGTAGCTCGTGAGTTGTGACTCCAGATCCTAAATGTTTCAGATATTTTGGGTTTTATAATATTTTGCAAACTCTGTTTAGCTTCTATTTAGTTTAATTAATTCTGTTATTAAAAATTGGCTAAAGTTGTTTTTGTGAATTCTCTAACGTTGGTTTGCCTAACAAGTGAAATGTTAGGCGGCATCACTGTCCTGAAGGTGGGAATTCCAGATCGTGACAGAAAATGCTCACACTATTAATGGTTTTTAGCCAAGTAGTATTTCGTGTTCCTATTAAATTAGTAGGTGGTTCTTTATATTAGAGTTCATTACTCAAATGGTCACTCAACTATCTGAAATTACCTACTAAAGTCATTTTTCTTTTGTTTGAAACAAAAAAATCACTTAACTATGTCTATAACACTCGGAAGGTCACTCTTCTAGATTTCTCAAACCTTTTATTGCCAAATACCTATTTTACCCTCTAAATTATCAATTTTTATCTTCTTTTTATTTTTATTTTTAACTTCTTAATATATAATTCTTTTCTTTGTAATTTGATATTATGGACTTAATATAGAATAAATATATTTTATTTATAAACTAAAAAATTAAAAATTGTATTTAAGCATGTATAATGTTGGAATAATAAAATATTGAGCATGGTATTAAAAATATAATAGAATAATTTGTTCGTAATAAGAATTTTGATAGTAACAACAAAAATTCAAAAATTATTTACAAAATTGAGAATGAAAGAAAATAAAAGTTGTACAATATTTATTCTATGCACGCAATATAAAAAATAATTATTTAAAATAAAGGTATTTTATAATATATATATATATATATATATATATATATATATATATTTGAAAATTATGCTCAATCCTACTATTATTCCGACATTATATAAGCTATAAAACTACTTTTTTATTTTTAATTTTATAAATAAAATATATATTTTCTATAGGTAAAACCATAATGCAGATTAAAAAGTGAAAAAATCATAATATTTAAAAAGTAAAAAAACAGATAAATCTTGAAAATTTAGAGGGTAAAATTGGTATTTGACAATCAAAATTTGAGAAATCTGGTTGAGTGACCTTCTGAGTGTTACATGAATAATTAAATGATTTTTTAGTTAAAAACGAAAAATATGACTTAACTAAATAATTTTCGATAGTTGAATGATCATTTAAGTAATCGACTCTTTATATTATATGATATGGATTAATCATGCAAAAATTCACTTACATTATCGGTAAAATAAGATAAATAAAAAAATATATAGGTATTATATTTGTTATTTGCTCTAACGCTTGATAAAAGGCCGCAGGGAAATTGAGAGAGAGAAAGCCACACTCTCTCTACTCTCTAACCAAATACCACTAACATGGCCACATCCCCACCCCCGACGGAGGACCCATCCTCCAAAATACCATCGGAACCACTGGATCCCCCTATAATTGCCTCTCAAATTGAGATGGATGAGGACACCTCTCAAAAAAACTCTTTCAAAGAGACCCTACTGGAAAAAAGAATTTGATGTCCACTATTTCATATGAACTAACTCACACCCCTCCTATGTTCGAACTAAATATGGGGAATATCCCCATCCCTTTGTCAAAGGAGAACAAGGACAGACTATACCTACCCTGGAGATACTCCCTAATAGTAAAACTTTTTGGGAGAAAAATTCCCCATTAGCTACTGCAAGCAAAACTCACACATCTTTGAAATCCTATTGAACTCTTAATGCTAATCGACCTAGGTTATGACTTCTTCATCGTCAAAATCAACCTAGAAGCTATCATGAACAGAGTCCTATTAGAGGTGTCACACTCCTTTTTAAACAACCCTCACTAACCCTCTTAAATTAATAAAAAAGATTTTAGTAAACCTTGAAAAGGATTTTAAATTAGAAAGTGACAAAAATTTGTGTTCAAAAGGATTAACTCAGAGTCGCCACCTGATATTTGATTTCGGTGTGTCAGGTGACCATTTTTCTAAAAATGATTTTTTCCTTTCAAAACACTCGAGACTCTAAAATTAAGTCTGTACCAGAGATTCGGGTAAGGGGGTTTATTTGACTCGGGAAGAAGGTGTTAGGCACTCCCCAAGTCCCGTGAAAGTCACGGTTGCGTACATGATCAAGTTGGATTTTAAAATATTCAATTGAGGTAGAAAACACAGAAAAAGGAAAATAAACACACAAGAGGCTCGAGGTCATCCCCACCTAAATAAAAAAATAAAGATAAAATAAAAATACTACAGGTTTCTACTTTTGGCTTCCATTTACATTCATTTTGAGGCATACCCCTGAAATAATAAAATATATACAAATCCCTCGGGGCATTCCCCGGACAAATTTAACTAAGGGAATGACCTCTCACCTCGAAACTAATAAAAATCCTAAGGCTTGCCTAACCAAGTTGTAGTCGGCCTAGACATGCTCCTAACGAATGATATCATCAATAAAGAAAATAAAAAGAACTAAACAAAAGAACTAAGTAAAAGAAACAATTCGATTCATGCTCATGTTTTGTTTTTAACTTTTCATTTTATTAGGCCGAGCCGGTTACCTAAAGCAGGGAAATAAATTAATTGCTAATGGGCTTCGGCATCTCCCTACCCCCACAGCCCAACAATCATTCAACTGAACAAATTCCATAAGGCCAAATAATACAGAAAGACAAACAAACACTGAGGCAATAAACTAATAAAGAAGATAGTAACAAAATAGAATAAAGAAGAGTTGGTATGCTTGAAATATGATAAGAGCCACCTACGTCTTGTTGATCTCACTCACAGCACCCCAACTAACACCATTTAAATGAAGGACCCTGTCTTAAATTCAATTGAAACTTATGTAACACCCGCATGACGCCGACTCATCAACAGAACATAAGAACATGGTTTTCTATTGGAACAAACCAACGTGAAAGGGCAATTGATAAAACCATTCGGCCATCTGGGACATCACAAGCAGACAAACACATTAAAATATTCTAGGATATCACATGCAAGCAAGCACATTAAAATATACGCCTTAGGCCTCACCAAAGCATAAACTCCCTACAGAGAAAATGAGAGAAACAATTCATGTTTAATGCACTAAAGCTACACATGTATTGGTCCTTTATATGAAGATCTAATCTATTATCTTAACAGAAGGACTTTGCAGTCCAATGCATATGGAATCACCATCACCTGAGTTATGCAAAGGGCAACAACAGGGCTTCTAATTCCTTGGTTCAAATACGGTCTCCGCAAAACATGAATACTAACCTTTTGTTGTTTACAAGTGAAGTTGGNAACCTTCTGTTGTTTACAAGTGAAGTTGCATGCACATAGACACATCAATAAGAAATCACCAGATATGAATGAATCTAAACATTAGTAATCTGATTACACTCAATGCGATTCAACATTAAATCACAATCGCAGATATTCCAACTTTGTCAATTATCCAGGTTCAACTCAAATAAGCCAACAAAATAAACTCGGGAGCAATGAAATAATCATCCTAGACCTTAGCTATGCGATCGATCTTCTAGTTAACAAAAGAAGCAAAGCACCAAATGCCATGTGTTTTAAAAAAAAGGGTTATGGACTGAAACATGCAAGAATACCTTTCATGGAGGAAATGATCTCAATATGCAAATCAGGGATGCCATTAATCAACAAACTCACTAGGTTGAAGTGTATGTTAGAGTCAGATTAACATTCAATAACTCTTAAGTGCGTGCAGACATGTGAATTATAGGGAAACTAACAAGGACGAGCAAAATTAACAGTAAGTTGCAACATCAGTGAATGAAATGCAATATGACAGGCAGAATAACTTGACTCTAAGCATGATTCACTTATTTTCATATGCTAATTCACATAACAAAACCAGCAGCCCGAGTATTCAATGAAAGCGATCGAGACAAGCATGAACACATATTAAATTGCACCATTTCACAATCGATTGGACATCAATCATTCAGGTCACAAGGCAAATAATCCGAGCCAAAAGGCATTCCAGAACATTTAAGTATAACTCCCATACATGTTCGCGCAAATCATCCCTCAACCCATCCCTTTTCTAAGTCGACTCAAACACTGTCCAAATTTGACAAACCTACGGCTTTTATCATGTTTCAATGACCATTAACAAGAATAGGAAGGAGAGAGGTGAACCTGAAATTGCAAAATTCTTCAATTAAGTTCGTTTGAAATTGAATACAAGTGAACTCGGCACTGAAATTTGAAGTAATAGTAGCAGACAAACAGGAATCGAACCAGCGACACAGCAGCGGTAGGAACCACGAACAAATACCTCTCGAGCAGTTGACGGACCTCAGCTAAACTCCATTTCTTGTTAAACAAATCAGAAGCTGATATTTTTTTTTGGTATTTTCTGTTTTGAAAATCAAAAGAAAGACTAATAGAGAGCTCTAAGCTTTTTGTACGCCAATGAAGTGAAAATTGGAAAGAAGAACATGAAAATCAGAAAACCCTCGCCCTTCTTCTTTTCCTAATTTTCTCCGAAATAAAAACCTCCCCCATCTCTGTCCAGACCCAAATATATAGCTCCCTCTCGAAGCTTCTCCTTCTTCAACAAGAAATTCCCCCCAAAAACCCGAATTTGCCCTTCAATAAATTCCGAAAATTCCCTGCCCCCAAATGAAAATCCCCTCTTGTTCTTCTTTATGGATGGTTCTAAGACAAATGAAAAACTAGGATTTAAAGTCTTCAAATCCTACGTCTACCATTAATCCGAATTCTAACCAAGGGAAGCAAGAGCGCGTAGAAACGGGTAAAATGGAATATCTTCTTCTGACAGAGGTCGTTATGGTCTTGATAACGTGAAAGAGAGAAAGGAGAGGAAGGGGGGACCATGAGGGTTCGTTTATGGTGAGGTTTGGGTTGGGTTATGATAGCAGGAGGTGTGAGGGAGAAGAGGGTGTGGTTGGTTTAGTCTTTAGGTTTAGGGGTTGGAGTGATATAACTGAGTTTGTATTTGGGTGTGGGGAAATAAGGTGGACCGTTGGATTTGGTGAATGGATGGTCGAGATTTAATCAGGAAGATGGAGCGGGTTGGGTCATTTGGGTGGATCTCTGGCGGGTTAAGGGAAAGGGATGGGCTGCCCAGATTTGGGCCTCTTCTTACCCGAAATTGGGCCAAAATTTGGGACTATAACCTTTTAAATCTATCAATTTTAAAAACTCAACCTTTTCTTTATAAAAAAATAATAATTTAAAATTAATTATGATNTATATATATATATCAATTTTATTAAATTATTATATTCAAAAAATAAAAGTAAAAATCATAGTAAAAAAAATATATTGCTACAAAAATATTAGTAATCTAAACTAAATAGAAATAAGATAAAACATGAAACTATTTTTGTATTTTTGATTTTTTGTGCTTTAAAAATAGAGTTAAAATTAGTAATAATGTAAAATCCTATATAAATAAACCCGAATAAATATCCTAAAAATACTAGAACTATTAGAGGTGATTCTAATGCGTGAGTCAAAAATTACATGTCTACAGCTGCCCCTCTTTGACGGGAAACACAAAGTGTTTTCAGACAAAGAACAACAAGACATGTTTTTTGACCCGACCTTATATAGAGAGACAAAAACTAAAGAAAAGAGAATGTGACCGAGTCGTGGTATCTGAGCTGCCTACATATCCTTGGCTATAAAGGAATCAAGCCACGTGTAGTTCGGAGTGAGAAGAGCGATGGAGTATACCGATGTGGAGAGCCGAGTGAAGTGCCGTCGAGGTTCCGGTCCGCAGTTCCTGCCATTACATCGAATATAAATGGAAACAATTACAGTAGAAGTAAAAGAAAAATACAAGATCCTATCTACTTCTTGTCTTGAATCTTCCTTGGATCTCTACTTGATCTTCAATATGAAACTGAAAAATGAAGCCTGTTCTTCAGGCGGGCTCCCGATGCTTCTTAAATTTGCGAATTGAAGTAACTCTGAAATGAATTCCCTCGTTCTCTAGGTGGGCGCCTACGACCAACTTGAAACTTGAAATGAATTCCCTCATTCTCCAGGTGGATGCCTGCCAATGACGTGAACTTGAAAATAAATTGAGAAACGAATTCCCTCGTTCTCTAGGTGGGCGCCTGACTGCTAAAACTTGAATTGTATTCCTTTGTTATCCAAGTGGGAGCCTGATTGATAAAACTTAAATTGTATTCCCTCGTTATCCAGGTGGGCGCCTGCCATTACAACAAAACAAACAAAACAAAAGAAATTTTCTGTCCCAGTTTGGAGTCTGGGCACATCTGTGAGTGTTAATCGAATCATGTTATCTAAAGAGCTCTAAGAATTTAAAAGCTAAATCCCATTATCCAGGAGGTCCTTGAAAACTTCAAATTAAATATCATCTTAAGAGTGATAACTTTAAAGCTAAGTTATATTTCCTACAGATAGAACTTACGTTAAATCTTGTTATCTATAAAGGTTTTGAAACCTAACTAGATCCCACTATCCAGGAAAGTCCTGAAAGTTTTAAATTAAATCTCATTATCCAGGAGGGTCCTGAGAACTTTTAAAGTTAAATCCCATTATCCAGGAGGGTCCTGAAAATTTTAAATTGACTCCCATTATCTAGGAGGATCCTGAGAACTTTTAAAAATTAACCCATTATCCAGGAGGGTTTTGAAAATTTTAAAATTAAATTCCATTATCCAGGAGGGTCCTGAGAATTTTAAATTAAATCTCATTATCCAGGAGGGTCCTGAGAATTTTAAATTAAATCTCATTATCCAGGAGGGTCCTGAAAATTGAGAATGAACTTACCTGAGCCATGCTCTCGTCTTGGAGTATTCTTAACAGAATTTCTTGCCCCTGAACCATGCCTTCTTCGTGGGAGGGTCCTTGTGGATTAAAAAATTTTCTTGCCCCTGTTTCAGACAAATAAAATCTTGTTAGTTGGAAAACGTGGTGGTTAATTTGTGGCATCATTGCTGAGCGTCTGCTTCTGCCACTGCCATGCTTCATTCTGATCAGCTGCTTCGAGCCAGCAAGGAATTTTTTGACCTTTTGATTGGAAATGGACCACAAAACCTCTAAATGATCTGAATCTCTTACACTCACTTGTTGCATTGAGTTTTCATTCTGAAAGTTGTTGAGTCCTTGTATTTTCTCAAAATTTAAGATTCAAATGATTGTCTGAACCTCAGTTAGCACCATACTGCTTATTCTAAATTAAGTCACTTGTGATGTGCCTGGCCGAACTCCGCTTTGTGCAATTTAGAAGCTGGTAGTAGGCTTTGGAAACCTTTCCTGCTTGTTCAACAAGGCTAACTCGAAAGAGACTCATAACGATAGACTCAAAGAGCAAAGTGAGATGATTTTTGGCAAAAGGAACAAAGGAAAATTTTGAACACAGACGACTATGTGAAGAAGAATGGGAAAAGAAGACTTATCTGAGTGAAGCGGCTGGCTTTAATGACCATGACATGCATTTCGGATTGATCAGCCTAATTTTCCAACCAATCATAGTTCAGTTCATGTCATGTCTTCATACTTCACAAACTGGGTTTTTACTGATCCAATTTCTCTGTAGAGTCATGAGCCTCACTCGATTTGTAGTGCCTCGAAGGGTTTTCACCCACAAACTTCTCTTCTTTGTTCATCTCTCAACTCACCATCGCCCTACGATGCCCGCGAGGGTTTTCAACAATAAGACTCTCTCATTTTAAATTTTTTCTTAGCTCACCATCGCCTTACGGTGCCCGTGAGGGTTTTCACCAATAAGACTCTCTCATTTTAAATTTTCTCTCAGCTCACCATCGTCTTACGGTGCCCGTGAGGGTTTTCACCAATAAGACTCTCTCATTTTAAATTCTCTCTTGTGCCCATGAACAAAGTGTTACCCATGATATAAATCATACCTCTATCTCGCTTGACCTGGCATCCTCAAAGATTGATCGGAAGGTCTTTCTTTCGACCGTAATGGAAGCTTTTGGACAGGGTTAGAAAGAAATGGTGGCATGAAGGCTCAAAATAATTTGAGATGAAAAAGGGTCAAAATTACAACTTTTGGAATCGGATCTTTTCAAAACCAAAACTTCTGCCCCAGTTTCTTTGGGTATAGGGAATTTTACTTTTTATTTTGATGGGACCGAACCGTAAAGTTGCCTACGTATCCTTAAAAGGAATTAGGTCGAACGTAGTTCAAAAGGATGTTGTTTGTTTTTGTTGCTTTTCTTTTCTTTTCTTTTCTTTTTTCTTTTTTCTTCTTTTTTTTCTTTTTTTCTCTTCTTTCTTTTTTCTCTTTTTTTTTTCTTGCTTTTCTCTTTTTTTCTTCTTTTTTTTCATTCATTCATTCAGTTTTTTTATTCTCTAATTCTGTTACTGATTCCAAAATAGGGGTATGAAAGAAAATAAATAAGGCTCAAAAGGGATAACAAAGGATAAAAGTGTTTGGATAGCAGAATAAAATGCCTTCATCATTTCAACCTTGAACATGCCAAGTAGAAAATGCGACTGAAAATAAGCAAAGGACTCATACATAGTACCTCTTGACCGCATCAGAATTGATAGACATATCTACACATTTGCCTTCTATGTCTATTAAATACAAAGCACCATTGGGCAACACTCTTGTCACTATGAACGACCCCTGCCAGTTTGGGGCAAACTTGCCTTTAGCTTCAGCCTGATGAGGAAGGATGCGTTTCAATACCATCTGGCCCACTTCGAATTTCCGAGGATGCACCTTTTTGTTATATGCGCTTGTCATTCTCTTCTGATACAATTAACCATGACATACTGCAACCAATTTTTTCTCATCAATCAAACTCAACTGCTCTAGCCGGGTTTTGACCCACTCATCATCATTAATTTCAGCTTCTGCAACGATCCGAAGGGATGGAATCTCAACTTCTGTAGGAATAACTACCTCAGTTCCATATACTAGCAAATAAGGAGTTGTACCTACTGAAGTGCGAACAACAGTGCGATAACCTAGTAAAGCAAAAGGCATCTTTTCATGCCACTACCTACAACCTTGAACCATCTTATGAAGTATCTTCTTTATGTTCTTGTTGGCAGCCTCAACAGCTCCATTTGCCTTGGGGCGATACGGAGTGGGGTTCCGAAGCATGATCTTGAACTGTTAGCATACCTCTTTCATAAAATGACTGTTGAGATTAGCAGCATTGTCTATGATGATCACCTTGGGAATTCCGAACCGATAAATGATATTTGAATGAACAAAATCTACCACTGCCTTCTTGGTCACGGACTTGAAAGTTACAGCTTCGACCCACTTGGTAAAATAATCAATGGCCACCAGAATAAACCTATGCCCGTTTGACGATGCTAGCTCAATTGGTCCAATAACATCCACGCCCCAAGTAACAAAGGGCCAAGGTACAGACATTGTGTGTAACTCAGATGGGGGAGAATGAATCAAATCACC